CCAATCCTGGGTTTTAGGTACCATGAAAGTGGTTTGGCTTTTAGTGGCGTTCATTGCCACAGTAACTTACACTGCTAACCTGCTCCTTATGTTCTGGGTAAGTGATCTCAAACTGAAATTGGACCAATCAGATGTGAGCAAATTGACACATGTTTGACAAAAAAATAAAAAATAAATAAAAATAAAAATCACTCCCCCAGTTTCTCTTCCTACAAATTAAAGGTCACTATAAAGTATGTAAAATTACAACAAAATTATCTGGCTTTAATGATAATTACAATTTACACATGATTTATAATATGAATATATTATTATTAATCCATTACACACAAGCACTTTTAGTTTAACAATTATTATAATGTATTTATTTTAAAGGGGAAAAAAAAAATATATATATATATATATATAGATCATAAGTAATATAAATAAGCGGTAGAATCAATAGATAATGCTTCAAAAATGGCTACATGTGACCTTAAATGTTCAAGTCTCTATCGCTATATATTATCAACTATAGTAAACTAACTTCAGAAGTTTCATTTGTGACTGCACTAATAAAGCCAGAAAATTTATTTTATTTGTCCTATTTCATGGACAAGTACTTCAATGTAAATGCGTTTAAATTCCTTATATTCTTTAATCTCTTATCCTTTAACAAAATAGTTTTGAATCTCGCTGGCTCTCTCGCGTGAAGTGAATCACACTTGCTTTGTGTTGCAAGGTGTCGGGGGTCATCATGTGACACAGCAGCCACAAAAGCACTTATGTTTTATTTATGTTTTCCTGTTTATTTGAAACATTCCCAAACGCATTAACTATATCATGAAATATCTTGATTCTCACCATTAAAGATTATGTTGATCTATAGTGTGCGATGGTCAAAGTAACCTAATAATGTAATCTATTAACTATGTATTAAAATCCTGTCTGTTTACTTAAAGCTGCAGTCCGTAAATTTTGCCTCTTTTGCGCCATCTCTGTTTGAAAACCTGCAATTGCAGCTGTCTGCGGCATTATCTTCCTTGCGTTGGTTGTGCGCCGGCACAATAATGTTTTGGAGTATGTGTGGCAGTCAGTCACCACACTGGAGTGGATATTCACTGTACTTCGCAATCACAGATTATAGCCTACATCTTGGAATTTATGAGCCAAATTAGAATTTTCACTGGATATTGTCATCTGAGTCAAGTAAGTAACAAGTCTGCCACGTTTGTTCTGACCAACTGAGGAAAAAAGCATTACAATAAATCATGCTACCAATGGTGATTAAATCTAAAGATCGGTTAGCTCATATCATATCAAACCATGCAAATTATTATTATTGTTATACTTTATTCTCAACATCAGCATTGCCTATAGTGTGTATTAGCATGTAGATTTCAATTTCTGTACAGTCTAATCTCTAATTGTCATACCATTCGAATTTCATATTAGGAAATTATTTTAACCCAAAAAGCAAATTATGCTCCCTTTGAACTGGTTGTCTTTAAAACACAAATCTTGTGTAATCCCAGGCTATCTGTAATCAGAAGCACATTTAAAACTGCAATATAATTTAATTTCATTCACATGTGTTTCATAAACAAATAATCCTTTCTGGATTACAGTCCACCATCAACATGATACATTTAATTATTCTAGCTGATGTGAGAAAAGGCTATAAACGATCCGCCACCTGAAGGATCCTCACATGCGATAGCCTACTAGCCTGGACAACTTCTTTATGTTTAAAGACCTTACGTAATGACGCAGCACCATGCTCGAATTTCCCGCGAAAACCTATCCATACCACTCAAATTAGAAAACATTATTATAAGATAACCGTTGTGAATCGGGCTAAAGTAAGGCGATAGTTTTGAACACTGGCTGGTTATGTACTTGCTCAAATATTGATTTCGGATAATTTTCGGACTGCAGCTTTAATTAACAGATATGGGTGTCATGCCATAACATATTTTTAATACGACTGACTTTATATTTAATGTGAATTTAACATTAAAAGTTAATGTGAATAAAAACATTGTAAGTTAGGCTACTAATCATAACACTTTAATTCTACAGAAAGAAAGCAAAGAACATTTACATTATCAAAGAACATTTTCACTGACTAGTTCAAGCACTCTCAAAAACTCCCAATAAAATCACTGAAGCTGTTTACACTATGAAATTAATATCTGACCGGTTCGCACACACATTTGTACTTTGTTGTTTCTGACGAGAGAATTCACCAGAAAGAGGTATTCAGTCAGCGAGCGAGTGAAGAAAAAACAGCATTTTAGCAATGACTCATCTGAACACCTCTGAAATGGGAGCCAAAATCATCACAATTAAGAGAACCAAAGACTTAAACTACTTCAGTCTGTGTGCATTGAATTTATTTAATACACGAGTTTCACAATTTGAGTTGAATTACTGAAATAATCTATTCTGCAATTTTGACTTGTCGTTAAGAAATCTACAATGTGATTATGACTAGTCATTATATGCACTGAAGATATCTACAATGTTATTTTGACTAGTCATAATATACATTCGAGATATCTACAATGCTATTACGACTAGTCATAATCTTCCATTGGAAAATATTTTCAGATATCTTCAAATGGGTTTTGACTATAGTAGAAATTGTAATTAAAGATATCTCTAATTGATTTTGTACTAGGCATAATTCTAATTAGAGATATATCAAATTACAATTTAACTAGTAATAAGTAAATTAGAGATATCTCTAACTGAATTACCACTAGTACAAATTATAATTCGAGATATCTCTAACTGGTGTTTGACTAGTCATAATCAAATTCAAGATCTTTAATTCATAATTTTTAAAGATATCCAAAATACATTTGTAGATATCTGAAAGTAATTTATTACTAGTCAAATTACAGTTGTAGGTATCTTGAATTGGATTTTTGACTAGGCAAAACTTAATAAGAGATATCTTGAATTGGAATTCTTCCTAGTCAAAACTCATTTAAAGATATCTGCAATTTAATTATGGATATCTCAATCAGATTTTTGACTAGGAAGATCTTTCTTTGGAGATATCTGCATTTAGCTTTGTGACTAGGAAGAATTTCAATGTAGATATCTGGAATTAACAATGTGACTAATCAAAATTCCTTTATAGATATCTAAAAATGTGCATGCAAATGTACCTTTGCTTAGCCCCACCTTAAACATTTTATTAACCAATCCTACCTTGGAAACTGTTGTCATCCGCCATTTTGTCTAAGAGTTGTATAATAAAGGTCCTGCGTCTTTGGGTCATTTTAAACTGTTTTATACAGAAGTAATTCAAAAGTATGAGAAAAAACATCCATTGTCTGTGGTCTTGGTGTGACAACACATTACCTAAAAGTACGCCACTACTTTTACGTTTAGTGTAAAATCCTACGAGGTGATCTACATGATTTTCCTAGGCTGTAGCTCTCAAATCTAATTTGGGCGATTCAAATGCACATTCAAATTGCTCATGCAGCGCAATGTTACATACAAGTCATTCTAGAATCATGTTATATATGGCTATAGCTGACATCTTGACATTCAATATTTTGATATGTTAAGTATGAAGGGGCTCTGGGAGGAGCTGAGTTAATTTAGTCTCACGTCACACAACAGCACATTCGACTAGGAGCAGGTACAGTTCAGATATCTTAAAATATAATTGTGACTAGTCGAAACTGAATTAGAGATATCTCGAATTACCTTTGCGTATGTGTGACGCCCTGTTGAAGATATCTGTGACGTCATTACAGATATCTTAAATGGAGTTTTGAATAGTCAAAGTATTTAGAGTATATATCTCTAATCTGATTTCTTACTAGTGCAATTATAATTGCAGATATCTCTAATTGTCATTGTGACTAGTGGAAGTATAATTATGACTCGTCAAAATACAAGTGTTCCTATCTCAAATTATATTTATGGATAGTCAAAACAAACTTTTAAATGCTAAAACGACTTGCAATAAAAAACTGCATCAAAGAGCTCTATAATTGTAATTCTTACTAGTAAGAATTTAATTGTAGAGCTCTCTAATTGAATTCCTACTAGTAAGAATGCAATTGCAGAGCTCTCTAATTAAATTAGAGATTATTTAATTTATTATTTATATAACTAGTAACTAGTTTATAGAGATTATAACTAGTAAAAATAGACTTTGCGAGCTCACTAATTGGCATTATTATAGTAAGAATTGAATTGTAGAGCTCTCTAATTGAATTGTTACTAGTTAAAATGCAATCACGACGAGTAACGCTTGGAATATTTTAAGCTAAAACGGCTTGCCATACAGTACTGTAAAAACGCGTCTGTATCTGGCTCAGCACCAACCAGCGAACGAACGCAGATTTGAATTTAGCAGCTGATGATATGATGCACTGAACGTTCTAATCACGCCGGTGTGATAGCATTAAATATAGAAAATATGAATCTGCTATTTTTTGTCTTTTGGAAGCTGCATTCAAAATCCACTTGGCTCAAAAATCTGAGGGGCATGTGCCCCCTCACTTTGAATGGGCATGACGCTTCTGCTGGTCGCTTCTCTCAGATAACACTACAGAGCCCTTGAGCCTTAATTCCCTTAAAACGTATAATTTCAGACTCAGAGGGAAATGAAGATTAACCACATAGATATGCGTTTTATATGTCTGTCTGTCTGTCTGTCTGTCTGCGTGTGTGTGAGAGAGAGAGAATACAAAAAAAGCTATACTAACGTAACATTACAAGTCAACAAGAAACATTAAAATAACGGGGAAAACCCCAGGTCATGATCCTGAATAGACTTGCAACAGTGCGCGTCAAACGTTCCCACTGTGACGAAAGCTCTTATGGAGGTGGTTTGGGCGTGTTTTATACTAATTACTTACCTCAGGCACCCGGTCGCTCATTTAGAATACTCAAAAAGCATTAATAGAACGGGGTCAAGAGCAAATTACGTACTTAATACACACGTGTTGTGATTTAGATGGGATTTTTTTCGAGCGAAGTTCTCCTCAGCGTATAAAGACAAATAAGTTGCATAGGTGTAGTCTTTAGTTAATGATACCCACTTTGTTTGTTTTTTTGTACGTTTAAATGTGTTCTTATTCAAGACACTCATTTGCAGCTTGTCATGGAAGTAAAACTTTTACTGGCTTGTTTTGTTATGTTTCTGTTGTGGGGTAAGACTCATCTATTGGACTACTTTTTTTAACATTAAAGTAGCTTAATAAACACGTATTTTTGCTAATTATTTAAATTGAACGTTAGTTAGTTTCCAATATAAAGATTTGAAAAATTCAACTTTTATATTTTGGAGTGTTGTTTTTATGCAATTATTTAAAATATGACAATAGCTTTAATGTAAATGGGGGGGGTATTTTGAGAAATAATGCAAGTGGTATAAATTAAACATTAGTTAATTAAATTTATTATAAAGATTTGAAAAGTGCAACTGCATCTATATTTGTTTATTTGCAATTAATTTTCTTTCTCTCTCTTGACTTCCTGAAGATGGTGCCCAGTCTCGATCTGAAGGACGAGAGTTTGCCACTGTGTTCATGCAAAACTATGTTTCCCCTTTGAACCAGTCACTTTTTCAGCTTTATATCACCTCTGTGAATTCTAATTGTCAAGTCAAAGTCCGCGTGCCCAGTCTCAGTTTTACCCAGGGGGTGCAACTGACTGCAGGTCAGGGCTTCACTGTGACCCTCCCCGTACAGGTCGAGCTGTATGGCACCAGGAGGTCCCCCAAAACTGTCCTCATTCAGGCATCTGATGACATAACGGTTTTCTCACTCAACTCAAAAGAACACACGGCAGACACATCCCTGGTCTACCCCTTGAGTGAATGGGGTACTGAATATTTTGTGTTCACCCCCACCAACTCCCCTCCATCCATGCTGAAGGAGTTTGTGCTTGTCAACAGTAAAAAGCAGAACACTGTGGAAGTGTTCCTTAAAGCGGCGGTCCGGTTCGAAGGTCACTCATACGGTGTCGGCAGTAAACTAGTTGTAGTCCTGGACCCTTTCGAAAATGCACAAATTCAAAGCCAAGGAGACCTCACAGGAACCAGCGTATCCTCAAAACTTCCCATTGCCGTGTACTCGGGCCACATGTGCACGTGGCGCTTTTCTAAGTGCAATCACGTTTATGAGCAACTCCTGCCGGTCCAAAGCTGGGGAACTCACTTCCCGGTTGCTCCATTTAGCATTCAGAGCCAGTTCGACAGCATCTATATCCAAGCATCACAGTCAACAAATATAACCGTTCAATTTGGCCGTACTACATTAACTGCCGTTCTTCAGCGTGGGCGCATTGTAGAGTACAAAATCCAGTCTCCAAATGGCCTTAATGTCATTGCTGACAATGGAATCCAAGTGTTTTTTCTGTTTAATGGTGTGCGAACATCCCGTGGTGTCATATATGACCCATTTCTTATGAATCTTCTGCCCAACAACCGTTTTTGTTCCTCGTACGCACTTGACGGGATAGCTGGTTTTGACAACCGAGCCCTTCTGATTGTTCCTAC